GAATGTGTCACATTTGATTTATCTATTTACCAGTCGATGGGCATCTGGATGGTTTTTGGGTTTGGGGTATTATGAATAATGTTGTATGCAGTCAAGTCCAAGGCTGAGTTAGCTGGGGAGTTCTATAAATGTCACTTAGATCAAGTTGGTTATTTACATCTCTTTTACCTGACATGATTATGAGAGTCCAGCTCTCTTAGGGTTGCTGTTTGCATGGCATATCTTTCCCTACCCTTTTACTTCGAAGCTGTGATTTGCCTCCGTGGACATCTTGTTGTCGGAATAGGCCTTTTATCCAGTCTGATGGTTTGTCTTTTCAGTAGGGTGCGTATTCCTTTCACATTAATGTAATTATTGTTATTGTTAGATTTGTGTCTGCCATTTTTTTTACTGGTTATTTTTTTGCTTTTTGGTTTTTATTTTAATATTTTTAAATTAAATTTCTTAGTTGACATTGGTTAATAAAGTCTTATAGGTTTCAAGTGTACATTTCTGTGATACATGATCTGTATGTTGCATTGTGTGTCCACCACCCAAGATCAAATCATCCATCTTTCGTCACCATACATTTTACCCTTTACTCCCCCGTACCCCCTTCCCTCTGGTAACCACCATACTGTTGTCTGTTTCTTGTGTTTTAGTTTTATATCCCACATATGAGTGAAATCATATGCTGCTTGGCTTTTTCTGACTGGCTTATTTTGTTTAGCATAATATACTCAAGGTCCATCCATATTGTCACAAATGACAGTATTTCATCTTTTCTTATGGCTCAGCAGTCTATGGTATATATGTACCACATCTTCTTTATCCATTCCTCTATCAAAGGACACTTTGGTTGTTTCCATGTCTTGGCCACCATGAATAATGCTGCATGAACATAGGGTACATATATCTTTGCAAATACATGTTTTCAATTTTTTCAGGTAGATACCCAGAAGAGGAATTGCTGGGCCATATAGTAACTCTCTTCTTCATTTTTTGAGCAGTCTCCATACTGTTGTCCATAGTGGTTGTACCAGTTTACATTCCCACTAGCAGTGAATGAGGGTGCCCTTTATTCCACAACTTCTTCAACACTTGTTGGAGGTGATGTGAGGTGGTATCTCATTGTAGTTTTGATTTGCATTTCCCTTATAGCTAGTGAAGTTGACCATCTTTTCATATATCTGTTAGCCATTTATATGTCTTCTTGGGAGAAGTGTCTGTTTAGGTCCTCTGTCCATTTTTTAATTGGTTGTTTGTTTGGTGTTGAGCTGTATGAGTTCTTTATGTATTTTGGATATTAACTCCTTGTCTGAGTTGTTGTTTTACAAATATCATCTCCCATTCAGTTGGTTGCCTTTCGTTTTTTTTTTTTTTTTTTTGCCATGCAGAAGCTTTTTAGTTTGACCCAGTCCCATTAATTTATTTTTGCCTTTACTTCTCTTGCCCTTGGGGTCAGATTCATAAAATATTCTCTATTATTTCTTTTTTGCCTTATATTTTTGTTTCTTATGTATGTCATTGTCTTCTTTTGTGTTAATTTTTGTATTGTACAGTTTTGATTTCTGTGTTGCTTTTATTGTTATTACTATATTTTTGAGTAATTTTCTTAGTGGTGGTTCTAGAGATTATAATATGCACCTTAGTATATTATTATATACTAACTGAATAATAATAGCAGAACTCTGGTAAAATATACAAACTTTGTCCCAATTTGTCTTTTTTTCTTTTCCTTTTTTAATGCTGTTTATTATCATATATATTTGATCCCAGTATGTTATAAACCTAGCTATCCAGTGTTAAATTATTACTTTATATTATCTTATGTTTTTAAATTAATTTAAGAGAAGAAATGAGAAACAATATTAATAGAGTCTCATACCTAACTACATAGTTACCATTTCTGGTGCTCTTCATTTCTTCTTCGGGTTTGAGTTTTCATCTGTGTCGTCACTGCCCTTCTTCCTGAAGGACTTCCTGTAGCATTTCTTGTAAAGCATGTCTTCTAGCAACACATTCTTGTCTTACAAAATTAATGGAATGTCTTTATTTCCCCTTTCGGTTTTGAAGAGTAGTTTCTGGTTATAGAGTGCTTGGCTGATAATCCCACTCCCACACCCTTGCAGCACTCTGGACAGTCCACTGTTTGGACTTCATTGTTACTGAGGAGAAGCCGGCTGTTTATCATTGTTTTCTCTGTGTATGGTTACATTTTTGTTGTTGTTGTTTGCTGCTTTTAAATTTTTCTCTTTGTCTTTGAGCATTTTGAATACTATGTATTTAGATCTCGTCGCGTTTATCTTGTTTTGAGTTTAGTTGAACTTTTGGATATAAAGATTAGTTGTTTTGTTCTTTACCAAATTTGGGAAGTTTTAGGCCATTATTTAAAAAATATTTTTGCCACTTCTTTCTCTTCTCTCATTATAAATATGTTGATAAGCTTGATGTTGTTTTACAGTTCTCTGAGGCTCTGTTAAATTTTCTTTGATTTTTTTTTTCTCCCTGTTCCTTGGATTGCTTAAATTCTATTGAGCTATCAACTGTACTGATTTTTTTCTTGTGCTAGCTCAGATTTGCTGTTGAACCCGTCTAGTAAATTTTTTCATTTCACTTATTGTACTTTTTAACTCCAGAATTTTCACTTGGTTCTCTTTGGTAATAATTTATATCTCTTTCGAGAGTCTTTGTTGAGTTGTCAGTGTCATACTTTATTTTAATGCTTTAAACATGGTTTCCTTCAGTTCTTTAAATTTACATATTTATACAGTAGCTACTTTGAAGTCTTAACTTGTTCAATCTAATATTTGGAGATGGCTCGAGATAAATTCTATTGACTGTTTTTTGTCCTAAGTATAGTTCACACTTTCTTGTTTCTCCTCATGTCTCCAAGTTTTTGGTTGATATTTTAGATTTCAAATAATAGAATTTAGCAATTCTGGATTCTGATTCTAGTTGCTCCTGCATTGTTATTTTACTTGTTTTGCATAGTAACTTGCCGGGAATAAATCTGTGAAGGCTGTCTCTCCCTTGTTGTGTGGCTGCTGCTGTCTCTATTCACGTTTGCTTTTTGTTTGTTTTTTTTGTTGCTTAGCCTAGCTTCATAGTGGTCACCCTTGAGGGAGAATAGTTTTGTGTTTAGCCAAAGATTGATCAGAGGTTGACCTCAAGTCAGTAAAGCTTTCACTTTCTGCTAATGGATCCGTATGTAGATCTGGGGAGCACATTCAAATTGCAGGCACTTTTCTTGTCTGCCATGGTTTTACTTACAGCAGGACCCCCTTGCATCTTCTTTGTGTGTTTATAGGTGTGATATCTGTCAGCAAGGGATGTGTGGGTGGTATGAGCCCACTCCAGTGTCTGCGATGCATGTGCAGAATCTCTGGTCAACCTGGGATATCTGTAGAGAGTTTATCAAAGGTGCTATGGTTGTCTCACTTCCCAGAATCACTTCCCAGAACTCCCTATTAAAACTTGGCTAGTCTCCGGGTCTCTTGCTTGCTTCTAACAGGACTTTAGCCTCAGGCTAGCAGAACCTCAAGCCTTCGTGTTTTCTTGCTGCTGGGATTGCCACTTTAAGGGACAATACCCCATTTCTAGTGAACCTGGCCTGGAAGTGGCATTGAGGCTGTTGGTTTTCTGGCTCAGCACTCTACGTTGAACTGTTGCACTGTTGGAGCTGGTGACAAGGGGATGGAAACAGCCTCAAGCAGAAACGCCATAGACCTGTGCCATGCTGATCTTACCTGAAGTTCAGTACTTTTCATGGAGAAGCACAGCTCTGTGTATGGCTTTGGTTGATTTCCAGAATGCTGAACTGGTTGTTTTCGAGTATTGTCTAGCTTGAAAACTTGTGTTTTAGGGAGATTTGTCAACCTCCTCATTTTGTTATTGCTACATTTTCTCTGAAGGTGTTCTGAGCATCCTTTGGTAGCAGGCACTGTCCTGGGCCCTGAGAACATTAAGTTGCATAATGTATTTTGACAAGCTCCTTACTTAGGACTGCTCATAGAAACCCATCAATTTGGCAGAACACTTAGTTACTTTTTAAAAGATACAAATTAAGGTGATTGTGCTTTTAGAATACTGTTGCAGCCATTACTTATGTTTTAAATCCACACTAATCATACAAATATTAGCCCACTGATCACTTTATATCTAAGCTTCTATAACTGAAAGTATGGTTTCAATGAAATGAAAACAACAACAACAACAACAACAAAGCAGAGGTTATGGAGTTTGTAGTTGTGGAATTGGCATTGAACTTGATTTTACAACTTAACTAGATGTGTCATTTACAGAAGGTTATTTGATCCCTCTGAGTCTGTTTCCTCACCTTAAATTGTGACCTAGCTGATGACTTACTGTGAAGAGTAAAGAGAACATAGCTACAATATCTGGCATGTAGTAGATAGTAAATGTTAACGTACCCACCCAACAAGTTGTGGGAATATAGTTTTGGTAACTTTTTCTTTATCAGATTATATACTTCTTGCTTTACCTAGCTTTGCTTTTAAGTTTTCTTTTCCTTTTATAGAATAATTTTCATACTTTATATAGTAATTGAAGTGTACACTGTATTTTTCTCAGTATGTTTTGGTTCAATAGTCTTTCTAGATATACAAATGTTCCCAATATATTATAGTGATTTCTTTTCTAAAATCTAAATTTTATGTGCTTGTAAGTGACAATGAAACTCTTTATGACCACTTTATGGTGAATAAGCTAGTATATACAGTGGGTCCTTAAATAAAGTTGTTTGGTTACAATGTTGATGAGATGCTGTAGTAACTTAACTTGTATTTATACCAATTAGCCTATAGTAACACTGGTTTTGTTATTCATCATTTGCTTAAAGTCTCAGAACCTATCAATCACATTACGAGAGAATTTACTGTGTATAAGATTATCTTGTGGGAGGTCTATAAAATAAATAAACAGTAGTAGTTCATTTATATGATTCAGGATATGATTGGAAAGGTCAAAACAAGGTCTCTAGTAGATAAAGACTTTTTTTTAATACTAAGTCTATACAATGGCTTGTTTCAAAGAGGAGAGAGCACCCAAATTGGTTAGACTCTATTGTAACAAGCTCAAATTGTGTCAGCAGTTTTGATCATCTGCCATAGAGTGTTGCTTACAATTAGAGATGAAGACTTTTAGAGCAACTTTTTTGGGATCTTGCTGGACTGGAGCTCACTCTGTTCAACCTCAGAAGCTCATATTTAAGTTAATCTGGTAACTTTGGTTACTTCAGGTTTTAATATGATTTTTGCTTACTTCAGGTTTTAATATATGATTTTTGGTTTTAGAGAGGATATGATTGGACTATGGCACATTCATATCCTCTTCATAATAACCATACTTTTATATGATTCTTAGAACTGGGAAATTAACAGTTCCTCTTACTTAACATTTTATAATGCTTTTTATTGAATTTTTAAAAATTAAATTTCTAGACACTGACCTTTATTTTTTGGAAGCCTTTAATTTCTTCTTCTGGAGAAGAGAAGCCTTTAATTTCTTCTGTTTGTTGTGGATATGTGTTTATTAAGAGTAATTCTTGAAAATAAAGTACTTGGATATCTATAAATTTCACAATATTGACATTGCAGAATTTAGACCTACAGGAAATCAGGATTCAGAGCTCCTTTGTTGTGTGGTGAAATCAGGAAGTTGCTGGTTACATGGTGGATGGGATTATGCAGATGTTTTATAGGCATCACCTTGCACTTAGAGTTGCAGCTGTGTGCTCTCTGGAATGAGGTCTGGTATAACAACCCATGCATGCTCCCAACAAACATACAGCCAAAGTTGCACAGTGAAGTAATAGATTTTGTAAACGAGCTTTTAGCACCTGCGTTTGTTGCAAGAATGAAGTGTGGAGTTATAATATGCATGTCTTTTCTATGGTACAGGTGTGTCTCTGGAGACAGTTCTATTGCAGGTTTATAAAAATGGTTACTCCCTCCCCTTTGGCTTTAAAAACCATATTTTTGGCAACAGAACCTATGATAAATTTTTTTTAGAAGAATTTTATTAAATGAAATAAGGCTTTTTATTCTGTGTAGATTGGGTATTTTGCCTCGTGCACTCAGGAAAACTGTGCAGGGCACCATGCTCTTTGAGTGCTGTGGAGGATGCCAAAGTGACTCTGGCAGAAATGCCAGCCTCAAGGCCTGCTGTTCAATAGTAGTGTGTGACAAGCTCCTGACCATAACTCGTACAAAGTGGTAAGTGCCATGGGGTGGCTACAGCTGCCAGGAGAGACTGGAAGGGAAGCATTGCTTTCTGGTTCAGTGGGAAAGCTACTCCAACCCCCAAGGATTCTCTTTATTTCCCGTCATACTGAACTAATTCTCTGAGTCCCCATTGTAGTGCATGATACACACACACACACACACACGTGTTCTGATTTCCCTTCATTTTGGGAGCCTGAAAGAGAAGAAAGAGGGATTCAGCGGCGACAGACTTAGCTAAGGAGAGTAGCTTGGACAGTTGGTGTGGTTTCTCCACTTGAGGGTTGTGCCAGGCTCCATGTGGCAACTGACTTGACATGTCACTGGAAAAGCCCTGTAAGTGCAGGATCTCAACAGAAATATCCTGGAAAAAAAACACGAGTAAGCTCGGGGGTTGGACACGTTAAATTTGGAAAAAATACCATTTGTGTGAATCTAGACTGTGCTACCAAATGTATGAAGAACTACTGACACCTCATGGATGTGGATATTATTATTTTTAGTTTTATAAAGTATGTAAGCATATATAGCAGAGTCTTTCTGTGTATGAATACACACACACATATGGTCTTGGCTCAGATTGACCTGTGAGTTTAATCTGAGACAATGAAAGCTGGTCATCATATTTTCCAGTTATTTGAAAAATAAATTTGGAGTATGTCCAGTTAAACAGCTAAATTTTACCAAAAGTATTTATATTTGTTTTATAGATTTTTGCCAATGGCCTTACTGAAGGTGAAAACAAGGTAGCATTTAAATAATTCATTATTCTTTTTCAAATTTATATACATTATTGTCTTAGGAAAGAACTATGATTATGCTTTTTTTTCCTTTTTAATGAAATAATAAGAACAATTTAGAGAGGTGGAGTGCCAGGACCAATTGACAGGTAAATCTAAATAAATCTAATTATAGTAAAAAATTGCATATAGTTTATTTTACTTTTCATGTATCCTTTGTTCTGTGGTCCTATGTATATATCAGCAAGTTGGTTGTTTCCAAAATCTGTTTCTAAAGGGAATCTTATTTTCTAACATTTACAGTTTTGGAATTACTCTTGTATATACATAAACATACACAGATAAACAGGGAAGGAACATTTTAAAACTGTTGGGATTGACTGAGTAGATGTTTTGGGGGATAAGGTACTGAAACTTCACCTCACAAATCAAAGTAAAATTTAAAGAGTATATATATATAGGAAATCAAAATATAGGAAAAAAAGTAGAAAATGTAGAATATTCAGACCACTGGAGAGATTCTATTCTCAGGTTTCGAGAGTTAGAACACAGATATAAAAATGTATCTCAGAGCTGATGGATGAAATTACTATTAAAAAGGTAGCTTATTCTAATATATAAGAAGAGATAATACATAAATTGAGAAAGAGAGTTATAAATGGTAAAATAACGTGGAAAAATTACTCTCAGTAATAAAATGTGAAAATGGGAACAGTGTGGAGATAACGATTTTTGTTTACTGATGCTTTTTTTTTTTTTAATAGAGCAGGAGGGAGAGAGGGAGGAAGAGAGAGAGAAACATCAATGTGAGAGAGACACATTGAGTTATTGCCACCCACATGTCCCCAACTGGGGTCAGGGACAAACTGCAACCGAGATATGTGCCCTTAGCGGGAACCGAACCCGGGACACTCTGGTCCGCGGGCCAGCGCTCTAACCGCTGAACCAAACTGGTCAGGGCTGTTTTTTTACACCGGTTCTGAGGTTGTGTGGAACAGACATAGTCACTTGTGGTTGATGACATGGTGGAGCTTTGTACCTGAGTATTAAACCCCTTTATGCAGAGGCTTTCTTTCCTGAAATGTATTCCAAAGAAATTATTAGAGACAGTGTGATATTTGCATAGAGATATTCATTTCAGTGTTATCTTTAATAGCAAAATAGTGGAAGTGACTTGAATACCTTTTAAATTAGAATAGTAAATTGATCCTCTGTACCAACAGACTTTTAAAATGATAGTTTTTGAGATCCTGAAAACATGAAAAGTGGTTGCTTTATTTAAAAGATGTATGTAGTATAGAATATACAGTTATATGGTCTTTGTGGAAATGCTTCTGTTAAGGTGACAGCAGTATGAGAATTTTAAATTATTTCAGGCATTTATTGACCATTTGCCAAGCGAGTCTTTGCTCTAATTCATCACCACACTGTATTCTGGGCACTGCTCTAGAGCCCAGGGATGCAGAGCTGCTTAGGTGATTTCATGTGGTCGTGTAAATGGACGCTCAAACAGCTAACAGCAGCTTAAAAGAGCAGCTTTCCAGGGAAGAGGAGGTGTGAGCTGGATCTTGGAGAATGATTAGGAGTTGGCCAGATATCCGGGAGGGTATTCTGAGCAGAGGCCACAGTGCAAATAAAGGCATGATGTGTGGGTCAGCGAGGGATGTGTGTCATTACAAGGACCTTCTTATTCCCGGGGTGAGTTTACAGTGAGGAGCAGTGTAGGGACACAGAGTGGGTGGGTGGTTAAGACCACCATGGGGGGGGGGTGTCATTAGAAGGATGGAAAAGGACTGCCTCATTTTCACCTCCGCGGCTTTTCTTCTTTCATAGTGCAGTACGTATTAGTTGTCTTGTTAGTTGTGTTCCATTCTTACAATTGTTGAACGTTTCTGGTTGGCTGTTCAACAAACACAAATGAAGTGCACAGAATAAAAAAATACTTGTCTTTATAACTTCCTTTGTGTATTTGCTACACAATATATGAATTTGTGGCCATTCATATATTGAGTAGCGATGATATTCTTGAGACTGTATGTGAATCAGTGGCAAAAATTAAATTTTCTGACTGCTGATCAATGAAACTGTAGTCCTGTCTGTGTTTTATTGTGGCTGAATATAAACATTCAGGGTGGGCAAGAGTGAGTTCACAGTTGTGAATATGTGAAACACAGTTTATTCTTGTATTATTATTAATTATTGTGTTATTTTACATACTACCAACTGTAAAACTACTTTTGCCCCACCCTGTATTTGTGGATAATATAGTTTTATGTGGTTGGAAAACAAGTTTTATTGGATATTATAGGAAAGTATTCTGGGTATGTAATAGGTTGTAGTAGTGAGTATTATTATTTTTTTAAATTCTAACATTATAAAATCTAAACAATAAATTCTACTTTTTTTTTTAAAGCATGCTGTGTAGGAACAACTAAGGAACATGGTATATCTTTTAGGACATTAATGTATGCAGATTCACTGTTTTGCTCTATCGATATTCTTTCTGTTGAAGACAAATAACAGTAGTTTATTAAGGTGCTATGTTAGATCTTTTTTTTTTTTATTTTTTATTTGGTATGTGCCCCTAGCGGGAACTGAACCCAGGACTCTCTGGTCTGCAGGCCAACACTCCAACCACTGAGCCAAACCGGCCAGGGCGCTATGTTAGATCTTATTTAATGCCTTTATAAAGAAGCACAGATATCACAATTTCTTAAATGTATTTTTTAATGTTTGACAACTGTATTTTGGTATGATTGGTTTTGTTTCTTTATTCTATGTGTTTTAGGCATTTGAAAACACTCTTTGAAGAGGTCCATGCTTTTAGTAGGCTGCAGAGACATTACAGCATACACAAATATTTAAGAACAACTCCTCTCCTCACCCCGTCCCCCAAACCACAAAGCCGGGAAAGGAGTAGGCCAGAATGAACTTTAGAAATGAACAAACAGAGTTTTGAATCTCCACTCTCCTTCTTATGAGCTCTGTGGATGAGGCATTTAACTTCTGAGCTTTACTGTCTGTGATAAAATGACCAGGACACAACCATCCCTGGTTTGTGATGAGGATTAAAACAGATGCTATATTTAATATACTGAGCAGGGTAACTGGCATAGAGAATAAATGTTGTTATGCCTGGTTCCTAACTATTACCAGAAAC